GTAGACATTTCAATAAAGAGAGACCATTTTAAGGAATTGAACATGATTTATTGAAGTACTGAGTTTGAGCAATAAACTATTCAGATGGAGCTGCATAGCAGAGTAGGGCCTAACAGTGGTAGGAAGTAGGCAAGGGCCCTTTGGAGTCTAGATGCTGGTCGTGGCAGAGATGAAGCAGGTTAATACTTGGATGAGGAACTCATTTTGGCCAGGATAACTTGGAGATGAGATGAAGGCAGGCTTACAGTGGGTAATAAAATGAGTGGATCAGAGTGAAGATGACAGAACTAAGTTACAACATGGGAAAGTGGAAGTGATGTAAAGAATAGACTAACAGCACAAAAACACCCAGGAACGCAGGCAGATGAGTGAATACAGAGCTTCCTTACTGAATGTATGTATAAGTGTCATTACTAATGCAAACTGAACTAAGTAAAAATGAAGAGTAGATGGCAGCAATGCACATCTGCAATAACCTGTTGTAGAATAACCAGCCTGTCCAACACAGAGGATAAACCGCAGAGCAGGTTAATGTGGGAAACGTGCGTTGGCATGAATCTCCTCGACAAGTTTAAGTAATCAGATTACTTTTAAAGGTGATATCAGATTGCACAAGTAATCAGATTACCCTTTATGGTGTACTCAAATTATATTTTATCATCACTGGAGGAACTTTGATCTATTCTTCTCTGCAGAGTTCTTTTAATTCAGCCACATTAGCAAAGTGCCAAAGCAACTTACATGTTATTTTATTTGTGAGACACTCAGATGTTGACTTACACTTTGGATAACTGTCCTGCTACATCTCTGTGCTGTATTGCTTTATATTTTCATATGTTTTGCTTTCTGTTAATGTTGGTAAATAAAAGCCTGTTTGGTCTGCACTTCATGTCCGCCACGAGCCTCCTATTTTAATCCAGCAGATGGTCTTGATTCAATTATTAAAGCTCCAGCTAGAGGACAGAGGCAGCAGCTACAGTTTGTACATTAATGGGGTTGTTTTTTCAGGAGCTGAGCTCCAAAATCCACAAGTTAAAAGAGAGTCCTCTCTGGAAAATGATAACATGGTTTTCGTCTTTTGGGTTTTTCCTGTTTTATTTTGAAGGCTACTTTTCCTTTTTGTTCCTTATGCACTGTGAGGTCATATTTTG